ATAGAATGACAGCTTCAAAGTTTTATCCCTAAGTAAGTAAATTCCATTATTCGAAGATCCGTGTCGTTGCATCATTATTCAGAAATTCAGCTAACCAACAATGTTAAAAGAATTTGTACTCGAAACAAAAGCCAAATCAATGCACCCTGGAATATAAAACCCCATTGTTCACAAACTCAACCAAACAGTCCCTGATGCGATGAGCAACAGCTCAATATACCACTCTACTCTTCCAGCCAACAAGTAAAAGCAGCAATTACTAAAAGGCCAAAGCAATGCATTAAAATCAACCAAATTAGTTCATGAGACGTTCATTTTGCTCACAAATTATTATTACTGCTTCTTTAAAAAAGTCGTTACTCTTATTTCGTCAACCATTGCAATAAAACCAACCAAATTAGTTCAAGAGATTGATTTAACACGTACAAGCGACACCATCCATTTAATCAATAATCATAACATATTTCCGATCATACAATATACATTGCAGCGTGAGTGAAGTTAGTCTAAGCCCAAACTCACAGAACCACAAGCATGTTGTAAAACAAACTAAACCCGGAATTTATAGTAGGGACTTGGGAACTACGTTATATTGAAATTGGCAGTGGTAATAATGAATAAATGAAAATCAAACAAACCTTGAAGGAGGCCTTTAGGCGCCTCTCCGGATGCCTATCAACCGGCAAGTTATCAGTGACACTCATCTGAGCGATGGCATCCTCCACAGTCCTTGCTTCGATGATAGAATCGTCACGATTGGTATTCGTCACGAGCACCATCCTCTCATATTCTTCCTCCGCTGCAGTGCGGGCCTGCCGCTTCTTGGCCTCTTCCGCCTTCTTCTGAATTTCCGCCTGCTCTTTCTCGCGCTGCCTCCGGAGCTCAGCATCCGTCACCTTCGGCACCGGTATAGAGACCCGGTTGGCCTTCTTGTCAGGCTTTCTCATCGAATTATCAATTTCCTTCTCCTCCATCTCGGCTAAGCGACGTGCCTCAGCCCGTCGAGCGGCAGCTTCGGCTTTTTTCTCGGCCTCTTCCTCACGCTTCTTAGCAGCACGCGATTTGGAGCCCTCAGCTTCTCGCCAATAGTGATCCTCCTTTTCGCGAGCCTCGCGTTCCTTACGCTCGGAATCGACCGCGCTCTTACGAGACCTGGCGGCCTCAGCCTTGCTGTTAACGCCCATCTTCTTCGGCATCTTTACGGCTTTAGGGTTCGAATCCTCTACGGCGATCGCGACTACAACCACCGTAAAGCGTCGGACAAGTGGTAATGATTTGGAACACCAATTCTGTTTCACCTACCTTGCCGTTCTAAGTTTCGCATATGATGAAAGAAAGAAGAGGATATGGTGATCGCAGGAATTTATTCTCGCTAGCTCTGTCAGGGAGATTTTTTTTTTTGCCCCCTCCTCCCCCGTGAGTGAGAAGAATTCCATTCGAATGATCCAGAGACTTGAAAGTATCGTGAGCCCGCTTATTCTGACTGGTAGAAGCGATCTAAAACGAAGCCTGTCGTTTACAGCCCAATTTCTATGGCTATCTTTTTCGTTTGGGCCCTAAAAACGTTATACTGCGAGTTTGGATAAGGTCGACATTTTCAGGAAATGTACGCACCCAATGCATATTATCTAAGCCCTAAGCCCTAATAGAAGGAACTAGCCATTTACAGTAGTATGACATGAAGGTTTAAATTTTTATTAGGAAAAAGTTTTATATTTAGTGTCCTATAGTATCTCGAATATGATTATTTCTAACAACAAAAATTATCTGAGCCCTTCAGATTTTTTTTGGACCACGGAGTCCTGCTGAGCTAGTATAACCATGCCAGATCATTTTTACTCCGTATTTTAAATTTAAATTTCAATCATAGTTGAGTCAATTGATTATGACTTCTGAGAAATTTGATGTTATGTGAGAAAACATATCTTATGAAAAATAACAATCAAAGATTAAATATGAAGTTTCCGGTTTGATCATATGGACCAATTGAATCCACGTTAGTGTTTTACTTGATGTTTTTCACGTATGACTTGCTTTTTCTTGCCAGCGAATTTTCATGTATATATCACTTGGTAAGTCTTCAGCTTGGGAATAAAATTGTAGTATTAGCCTGAATAAGTTATTTTGATTTTGATTCATGTATTAGATTTAGATCTTATTTATAATTTATATAGAAATCAGTCATGGGGTTAAGTCTGTTTTTAAACTTAATGTTACAACTCATTTCGTATTTTATATTTATCATTTTTTTAAACTAATTTATCTAACTAATAAGTTTACTTATAATTATTTTAGTCAAGTTATATCATATTTATTATAATTAACTAGATTTTATGTCTTTTCGAATCTCTTTCAAATTAATTAAATACTCCTCCGGTCCTTAATATAAGACCCATTTAACTAATTTGATTAGATTAAGAAAGTTAGGTAAGTTAGTTAATTATAAGAAAAGTGACACATTTTTCCTAAAACACCACAATCATCTTTCTTAATACCCCCTCTCTTTCTTCTACTTGATTATGGTTGAGAGAGTATACATAAGGGTAATTTAGAGAAAATTAATAAATATAGAAATGAGTCTTATATTTAGGACTAAAACCATTCAACAATTGGATCCTATATTAAGGACAGGAGCAGTAGTACTTATGGCGTGTCTCTTTCTTTCTTTGAGATGCATTTGATATGCCCCAGTCCCACGGCCAGAACAAACAATTAACTTAATAGACTGTGAGCAGATTATTGATAAATTTGTTAATTTTTAATCACAAAAACAAAGAGAACATTTTGCGACTGGAAAAATATTAGTCGTGCTCTCATCTTGATTTTGAAAAAGGTCTTGCCCTTTCTTTTGATAATCTATAATGTGTATTAAGCTCGAGTCTTGATTCACCTAATATGAAACCAAGCACATAACGCAATATTTTTAAAATACTCAACCTGAATCTTTAAAATTAATGTCATGTCATGACTTCAATATAATATAAAAAGACTTTTTTTTTATCAAAATATAATATAAAAAGACTGATCCCTGCATAGACTGCATGAATAAATCACGTGCTTCAAGTATGCCAGAGTTGACGTACAGATATTTCTGTGCCCATGAGGAAGAATCGACCGAAGCCCATAGCATCGGCATATTTGACAACTGAATCTACCTCATTTGTGATGCAAAAGCAGAATAGAAAATGACGACGATAGATAAACCAAATCAGCATGGTTGCCAACAGCGGTAAAAATATGCTGGTAAAAAAAAATTAACAGCGGTGAAAATATAAACAAATATAAAGATATATATAAATTATTATTTCTTCTGGTTGTAAATTTAAAACCCATTTTATAATATTATTTACACTATAAAATAAGTTTCGGAGAATATTTCAATTTCAATATGGTTCCCGTCATGTGCTTGCAGCCAAGCATTCTGAGTCTATGCTGTCCTTTCGACACGTATCCAATCCTTTTGCATCAGAAGCGTCCACCGGAGAAGCAAGGCTCCAGGTTTTTGGTGAAGGGACCAGAAGCGGGTCAACTTCAAGTTGGTCCTTAGCTTTTATAACGTGCTTTTGACCATTATGACCTCACAAACAACTCTCCAGCAACCAACACCACTCAATTCGGATAAGATAGCAAAGCGTCCAAGTTTAGGTGACGGTAAATACTGCCTCATTTAGCGGCGTTAATCATCATGCAATCTATGATTTTCCATAGTACATGGGGTTTGAGGACGTTTGACTGGGAGTCAGCATGCCCGCCGCTTCATCGGCTCCAAGGGCCGCTTTTCTACGGCGGTGTGATCATCTATCTCCCATGACCCCGAGGACATGCGACGCCGGGTTTCCTCGTCCCCCGCGTTTATCTATTAATTAATCTTATCATCTTATATGTGATATGGTAATTTAAAAATCAAATCCCCATATCATGGTTGTGGATGACCATTTATTTAATTTATATCCTCGCGCACCGACCCACTGTGTTACACATGGATGTCCCAGAACTGCACGCCAAAGCACAGTTTCTCTCTCTCTCTCTCTCTCTTCCTTCCCTCCTTCGCTTTCATATTCACTTCTGTGATGATATGATCTATCCTTCCTTCTCTTTTATTACAGTGCCCTCCGCTACTTCCTCCATGGCAGCCGGCACTTCCCTCAAGTTCAAGGACAAGGAAGACAAGTATTGCACTCCGGCCGTTCGTTAAAACTGTTCCTTGGTTGCAAAATAAAATAAATTTCAGAATAATATATTAAACATGCATCCCTTAATGTACAGATTTTGTTGATATATATATACGTATGTATGTATAAATATACATGCACCGTGACCATAGATTCCGTTATCCTTTCTCAACGAACATAATAAATATACGGTCGTCACAGGGCCCCCCCCCAAAGCTGTTGGGTCGGGTGTTAATTAATTTCGCGTTAATTTTAAAAGCCGAAGCCATGTGTGCAAATGTGAAGCGAAGCAGAGGATGTGAGTCATTTGATTGAAGTGTACAGGGGGTGTCCTATATCCAGGACTGTGGGCACTCGCCCAGAACATGCCACTTCCATCCTTTTGTTGTTCCCAAATTTCGGCCAGCACTGCTTTGTTATTCCCAGTACCCTGACTTTGGTGGGAACCAGCACGTTCGATCTGATGGTGCAGCCGGCATTCTATCCTAATTAACATAAATATTCCACTCCCATCACGTGTTTGGTAAAATCAGAGATCGCCTGGCTAGTACGAGAGCTTAGCGACCACGACGCCGTTCGACAGCGCATACACTCCCGCCCGATGATAATAAAAAAATAATAAATATTACTAAAATAAAACGACAGCTTTGGGGATTCATGAATGAGGATAAACTCGCCAACATTTTTTTACCTATTATAAACATTTTTAATAGTAGGAGTTTCCATTCAAAGTCTGGGTTTCGGTTTTCTTTAAAACCCACGCTAATTCTTGCTCTTTAATACTGCTATTAATCTTTTTTTTTTTTTTTGCACTCTGCAAATTCCGAATCCAATCACTCCCTCGTAAAAGATCCTTGTCCCTTTTTTTCTTTTATGCTTTTGCTTATAAAATAGCCCTTCGGTTTCTTTCTGATTGAATGGCGATGGAGGATAACGAGAGCCGAGCCAGCGGAGTGCAGGAAACATCGTCGTCCCCCGCTCAAAACCGGCAACAGAGACAAAAACTTGAAGTGTACAATGAGGTTCTTCGTCGCCTCAAGGATTCCAGCAACGACGAGGCTATGCAGCCTGGCTTCCACCATCGGCTCTGGGCTCATTTCAACCGCCTTCCGACACGGTTCCTACATTTTTACCCGACCTGTTTCCACCTCATCTTTTCTCTTTCTTTCATATTCTCCCTTTACTTTTGCTCTCTTTATCCATCTATTCAATTTGGTATTTCGGACGTTAGTCCCGTACTGGCTGCCTTAAAGCCTCCTTCAAATTTTATATCTGATGATGATGGCTATAATACTTTTTAGAAAAGATAAGAAGAAGAAAAGAAAACGATCGAGAGAATTTCCAGTTACTTCATGGCTTCTAATACGTGAGAGCGAACTATTTTTCCTCTCGGGTTCAATTGCCTATTTCTCTTTCAATCCCCTGCGAGATTGTTGTGAGCTCTGTTTTCTTGCTGCGAGATCTTCCGTTAGCATTATACTTCATGTTTCGTTTTGAGAAATCTGGTGGGATGCATTTCACAGTTATGCGTTGGATGTGAATGTGGAAAGGGCTGCCGATGTTCTGATGCACAAGAGATTACTGCATTTGGCACATGATCCTGCTAATAGACCTGCGATTGAAGTTCGGCTGGTCCAGGTGGGCGCTCTTGATTTAGTTAATCGTAGCTTGTCTGTTCCTGATGCTTGGAACCAACATGATTGCACTTCTTAGCGTTTTCACGTGGTCATGCGGCATAATTTCTCATGGCATGCTTTAGACTCCAGTTAGTCGTAAATTATTATCTGATTATGCAGTGTAAACGTATGTCCGTGCTCAATAAATGTTCTACATTCACTCTGGAGTACGTAGCGAAGCTTCTCCTTCAGAGCGATGTGATCTCATTTTTGGTTGACCGTGTTCAGAATTGGGTTTCGGACGGGCACTGCGTCTAATGTAGTCACCTCTACATTAAGATAAAGAATACATTACAACGATCTAACCTCTGAAGAGTATTCAGGTCAAAAAAACCTCTGAAGTGTGCGAGTGTCATTGGGTATCCTACGGAATAACATATTCTATGGATTATAACCTTAAAAATAAAACAAAAAAGGAATATTTTTTAATAATAATGCCCATTTTTTTGGGGTTCGTGAACTAGTCTATTTTTGTTTTCTTCATTATATGATTTAACGTGATTGCTTTTAGTATTAAGTGTAATGGTGAGAAGTGAAAATCTATAGAACAATAACTTGATTGCAGGTTCAACCCATATCTGACGGGAACTTAGCTGATTCTGTCCATTCAGAAGCTCCTGGTAAAGAAGCCGGTCAAATATCTTCAAAGCACTCAGGGAGACAGAGGTATTATTTTCTTACCTTCTTGTTGGTCTTTTGAGGCTCTAGAAGAATTTTTAGATGAAATTATCTTAAAACTCCAGTTCAATATATATATAAAGCTGTACTGATTAAGCATGTTAGAGCTTGATGCCTGTATTGAGCTATTCTTGTGCCTTTGGAATTTTTGTGCAGTATACATCCACCTCCTGCTTTTGGTTCTTCTCCAAACCTTGAAGCCCTGGCACTTGAAGCAAATAAGAACGAAGATCTAGAGGTGGAACACTCTGTACATGCTGGTGAACAATATTCTCGGTAAAATTTTCTTCTCAAGATGCTTTTAGGGTTAGGCTTGGATAATTTCTGCAGCTGTTGAGTTTTACTTATACTTGCTCTTTTATGTAAGAGTGTATAGGAAGACATTACTCAGCTGGTATATCCAAACTTTTATTTACTTATTTCCGGTTAGTTAACCAGGTACTGTTGAGTACAATTCATCGATCAGTCTGTTAATATTACCAACTTGAGAACTTTATCTGAGATATGCCTGTACAAACTTGTACCGTATGTAAAATTATATATTGACATTATGATAAAATTTTAATGATTTCTGTAGCTTCCAGTTGAGTTGTTTGTTATTATTTTTCCCTGTAAATTTTGTTGAGATGTAAAATATATTTGTCATTGATAATGTTGTAGGCCCATGCATGAAATCACCTTCTCAACAGAAGACAAGCCAAAGCTCCTCAGTCAGGTATATAATAACGTTTGCAATGAAAATAATGTTTGTCAGAACTGTATTAAGCTGCTAACAAATTGGAGCGTATTCTTCTCTGTCCATTTATTTGCGAACATTAGTTGAATTTCGAACCTTATGTGTTGAATGGGAGTGTACTCTCTGTGTTTAGGAGATTCACAGGTCTGGTTTTATTTGCAGTTAACTTCTTTGCTTTCTGATATTGGACTGAACATTCAAGAGGCACATGTTTTTTCCACAACCGATGGTTACTCATTAGATGTGTTTGTTGTTGATGGATGGCCCTATGAGGTATGTTGCGCATCATTTGCTATCACTAGAATGTGGGTCCTATGCTGGGTCCACATTGGGTGGTCATCACATTTGCCATCACTGTGGTGAGATTTGGACTGTCCAGATTTCCTTTAGGCAGTCTAGATTCAGAGTTTCTAATTTGTGATTTTTAAATAATTTTAAAATGCGACAATTGGGAAATTATCTTTATTTTAAATTTTGTGCCTATTGAAATAATAAAACATTGAAAACATAATAATTAAATTTACACCGTCCGCATTCAATTAGATGGTCCATTTGAGTTGAACTGCACTATTTATAACTTATTAATAGCATGGCTCTGTATAAACTCTGTGTGTGTGTGTGTGTGTGTGTGTGTGTGTGTGTTTGGACTTGGTTTTGATGGGTTCACAATATTGAACTAGATGATAGATTCTTCTGAATTTTAATTTAGTTAACCTAGATTTAATTTTAAATGACTGAAATTCTTGCTGAAAGGCATACATAGAGAATCTAACTTCATCTAAACCATGTTATAACTTGTATTTCAGTTCGCAAGCACTTGCTTGGCTAACTTACTAGCTCAAAGCTTCTTCTTTTCTCTTCTGAGATACAGTATACCATGTATATTACTATTTGCCATTACTTTGTTCTCTTTTAGTATTTAAGATTGTGAACCTTTCAGTTCATAGGACACTGCTTGACAGACTGGTTATACTAATACAGGAAACAGAACAGCTTAAAGCAGTCTTGGAGAAAGAAATTTTGTTGATTGAGGCAAGTCAGGCATCTTATTGTGGTCATAGATCATTGCTTGATTAATTTTTCAGTATCTTAATTCTCCTTTGATTGTTGATTTCTTGCCGAAATGTTTCATACTCTTACTCTGTTCTGGATTTCAGTTTTCTATGTTTCAAATGGTTTGTTGTTAAGTGACCTTCGGGTTGGTTTCAGAGGCAGGCATGGCCCATTCAACAATCAGTTTCTTCTGTTGGTGAGCCTGATCAAGTTGTGAAATGTGAACCTGATCATTTGACAATACCTAATGATGGGACGGATGTTTGGGAAATAGATCCTAAACATTTAAAATTTGGAAGTAAAATTGCATCGGGATCATATGGTGATCTGTGAGTATATATCTATCAAAATATTCTTTTTCTTTTTTGTTGGCACAAAACATTTTCCGATTATGAGCTGATATTATTGATATTAATGTTCAGTTAACCAACACTTCTAAAACAGATTTAAAGGTACCTATTGTAGTCAGGAAGTGGCGATTAAAGTTCTCAAAGCTGAGCATGTAAATTCAGATTTACAAAGGGAGTTTGGCCAGGAAGTCTTCATCATGAGGTTTGTATTTGATTTGCACTAGTTGGCCATTGGAGATCTATCTACCTGTTTATTGAAGATGATTTAGTGGGTGTTTGGATGAAAACCAAATCATGGTTCTAAAAATGATTTTACGGTTTACAAAATAAGTACATAGGAAGAGTTTCGTTTCATCTTTCATGAAAGTACTTTTGAAAAGTGTTTTTTGCGGAAAATTCTTTTGCATGTCAGAAGTTATTATGGAAATTTTTTGTGCTATTGGAGCCCTGTGTTTCATCTAACCCCGGCCTTTAAATATCACCATACCTCCGTTTTTAAAAGATCTATTCATTGTGATGGTACGACTCCTATCTAGTAGTATCAAGGTAATTGAGCAGCTAAAACATATAATTATTGTCGCTGTTCAGACAAGATATATAGAAATCTAGTTTAGGAAAAGGAAAGGACCAAACAAGCCATATAGTCAGAAAGGACCAAACAAGCCATATAGAAGGACTTGTTAGCAATGTATACTGTGAAACACTTGCAACTTCTATTTCGATTAATATCTTTATAACCATGCAAAGGTACTTATATGCGATATTTAGGTGCACTTCAAGTAACTATTTCCTTGACTTACTAGACGTTTATAATTCTTAACACCACTTAACATGGCTAACATCCTCATAACCTACCAGAGTTTCTATTGGTGAAAAGTATGAGAATCTGCTTATGCTAAACAATGGTCACTTGAAAACATAAAAGAAGTTAAGATAGTTATGTGTCCTGTTCAGAATTTCAAACAAGCATTTTGTCAAAGCCATCTTACTTTAACAAGTCAGTTCTAAACCATGTTTTGGGCGCAAGACCCACGCCCAACTTATCATGAACTAACTAATCTGTGAAGAAAAGGAGTAGATGGTGTTGAAATTGTTTGCTGTTTTGTTTGTCTATATTTTTCATTCCATCCATATGTATAGTATCATCTTGTTTCTTGAGCTTGCAGAAAGGTTCGGCATAAGAATGTTGTGCAATTTATAGGAGCATGTACCAAGCCCCCATATTTGTGCATAGTAACAGGTGAAATCCAGTGAGTTACGTTATTTCATTCAATCCAATAACGGAATAGACTTCCGTAATCCTGAATATTTAGCTATAATCATTCTTTTTCATAATTTTTTTTTCCATCGTCAATTTCAGAATTTATGTCTGGTGGAAGTGTGTATGACTACTTACATAAGCAAAAGGGTGTTTTTAAATTTCCATCCCTTCTCAAAGTAGCAATTGATGTTTCCAAGGGAATGAATTACTTGCACCAAAATAACATTATCCACAGAGACTTGAAGGCTGCAAATCTTTTGATGGATGAAAATTGTGTGAGTTCCTCCAACTTTATGATTGTGATGATATAATCTGATGCTTTATCTATTATAAACCATATGTATCGTCAATAAAACCAGCTCAACAAGCCTGGGATGCACAAGTGACACTTATGCACGTGTTGCTTTGCAGGTGGTCAAGGTTGCTGATTTTGGGGTTGCTAGAGTGAAAGCCCAATCTGGAGTTATGACGGCAGAAACTGGAACATATCGTTGGATGGCTCCCGAGGTATCTAATGTTCCTTTATTTGGTCTTTTGAACGGTTGATTTTCCGTTTGACTATTACATTCCTACTGAAATTTCAAAATATATATTTGAAAAAGGAATTAAAGCTGTCTAGGTCAATAATTTTAACCTTGAACGTGTTTTAAGTACAATAACTGATACACAGATTACAACTAAAAATCTCTCTCTAAATGTTTGCTAGTGGCGAGAAGCTTTATGAGTTTGTGACTTCATGCATTAATGCTAGCATCAGTGTTGAGATAGGCGAAGGTAACTTGGTAGAATGAACTGAAAGAAGGGATTGCTGTGTTCTTAGATATTTTGAGTCTACGTTGTAATGCACACATATACACATTGAGGGTCTCAAGTAGGGTGAGTAAACTGATTTTTATTATAAAGCAGCCTCTATGTATGATTGAGACTAGCAATTTTTCATTAGGATCTGCGCCCCCCTCTCTTGTGAAAAGAGGTGCTACCTCCCCTTTTTTTTTTTTTGGTGAGGTCCAATTAACCAACTTGTGTAATTTAATAAATCTGGTGATATTAGTTAAAAGGAATAAATATGTAAGGAATGTAACCCCCCCCCCCCGGGGGAATATGCTCTTTTTTAATAACAGGGTAAGTGTGAGAGAGAGAGAGAAATAGTAAGAGAAAAGATGAAAGAAATGTATGAGAAAAGGATAATGTAATTGATTCGGGGTAAAACTGGTAAAAATGCACTTAATGTTTAGACAACTCCAAATTGCATCTTATGAAAAGAACCGGACCAAATCAAAAAATTGAATTTTATAAAAGGGACTAGAGGGAGAACTAAATAGATGAGAAATAGATTGTGTTAGCATAATTTTTTAACATGTTTATTTTGGTTGGAAGGTTATAGAACACAAGCCATATGATCACAAGGCTGATATATTTAGTTTTGGAGTTGTTTTATGGGAATTGCTCACCGGAAAGGTATTTCTTGTTTTTACTATCCTCTGATGATCACCTCTCACTTAACCCTCCTTTGTTTAAGCTATTTTTTTCCCCCCTTTGCCAGCTTCCGTATGAGAATTTGACCCCCCTACAGGCAGCTATAGGAGTGGTCCAAAAGGTAATCATATAACTAGCTTCAGAAAGTGGTTGTAGGTTTAACTGTTGGATGAATCGTCCTACTTCCGTCGGAATTACTTTCTCGAAAACCCTAAAGTAGCGGTGTCCATGATTCAGCGGTAAGGTATCGATGGTGACTATTTATTATTCTTGCTTTACATTAATTTCAGGGTCTACGACCCATCATCCCAAAGAATACCCATCCAAAATTTGTTGAGCTTCTTGAGAGATGTTGGCAGCAAGATCCAACACTACGACCTGATTTCTCTGAAATTATAGACATTCTGCGACAGTTGGCTAAAGAGGTATAACAAGTCACTTTCTTTTGTATAAGTTGACAATTCAGATGATTATGTTCATTCTCTTGTTATCATTGTTAGCTTTTAAGGTTGCATCGAATTGGATGTGTCATGTGACAATAACCTTGTGTTTGGAATAGGTCGGAGATGGAGAGGATCCACGCAAGGAAAAATCTGGAGGATTTTTCTCTGTCCTCAGACGAGGTCATCACTGAAAAAATAAAATGGGAATTGATGCTATTCATAGGATTTGATCAGAAGGTTTATTTCCTGATTATTTTTTAATTGATGTGTACAGTCTTCTCTTCACAGTATCTTATTGCTTGTGCCGTAGATTATTCCTCTCAACAGCATATGCGAAACCAAATACGAATTTTTTCTATTTCTGCAACGGCATTTGTATTATAAAAAGAGCCGAGGTGACGATATAATAATGGTATACATATATAAAAGAGAGTAAAAAAATTGCAGTTATTTTACTATTATGTTGTTATTATTTTTGTCTTTTAACCCCAATTCAGGGGATAGTTCTGTACAAATGAGTATTGTAACTTGGGCAACTATTCAGTGCCAACGTTAATGAACTGGCAATGTTACCTTGTGCCTACCTAACCAAGTCCGTTATGCACACAGGCACATGTTTAATGTTCACCTGAGATTTACTTATTAGACCTGCTCAGGTGTACAAACCCGGTGATATGTGAATATTCTCATTGAAAGGTTTTAGCGTTTCGATACCCCCTTTTTTTTGGGGTGAGCAGAGGGCATAGCCCAGGGAATTACCTAGTCACTCTACGTATGACACCTATTCTTGAACGATCATCTTGAAGCATCTAACACACTTCCAAAGGCGGGGAGGACCAGATCATTTTTCTGTCAATTTGTTGAGCACTCAAATGAGCCATTTGGTGTGCGGCTCTGTTGCTTTTTCTATAGCTATGTTTGAGCTGCACTTGCCACTTCTTTTTCAGCATCATCCTATTTCTTGTGAAAATCTGTACACTTCCGACTACCAGGGCATTAAATTGCACGGCTTGAATGATCTGTGCAGCATCTGTCCCCGCTTCAACTTTTTTGAACCCCATGGCCCAGCACAGGATTAAACCTTCGAGAACTGCTCATGCTTCAGCTTCCAGAGAGCTGCGATCAGTCATTTGAACTGGGAACCCGCTTAGCCATTCCCCACAATCTTCCTGTATAAAGGGGTGTTTGGATGAAAACAAAATCATGGTTTTAAAAGTATTTTTACAGTATATGAAGTAAATATGTGATGGAGTTTGTCTCAATTTTACCCTCATTCAAACACCCACTTCACAGCCCGCTAGTCCATCACAAGATACCCGATTGTCTATGTTGTGCAAGAGAATGGATCAAACACGTATATAACAATCCCACGATCACGTTGGAAATATGGAGGAAGGGAGTTAGCCTTGTTAACTCACCTGCTGAATGGACTGAACCACCGTGATTTGGAAATTATGAAAATTGGTAATAAAATTTAAATTCCATTTAATTCTGACGATAACCGTGTCCAATCGCCTCGAGCGTATTGATTGATGGCATATATTTGGTTGAGTGAGCATGCTGGCTGAAGGATAAGGCTCATGCCTCATATTTCACGTTTCAATCATATTCACCTTCCATAATTAAGTACAGTTGGTGGGCCTTATAGCTCGCCCTACAAATTTAAGGAATGGTAACTTGTTAGTATAAATTTTGCAATTATTTTGGAGCATTGATGGTGAATAAGGACAGCCCATTGGCATCTCGGGGCTGTGGGGCCAGTCCACGCAGCATATGGTATGCTTGTCCGCCTATTAACCACTAAACTCACCAACAAAACTTGGTCTAACTATGATGGGAGTTGATTCAGTTGGTAAGAAATTGATTCATAATTCATAAGGTCGTGAGTTCAAATTCTACTGTTGATGTGATGACATTATTGGTGGGTAATATATAAGCATCTCTATAAGCGTTCTTTGAATCTAGAAGCATATCCTGGCTTTGGTGAGCCATCGGAATTCAATTCACCTAAACTTTTTTGTAGCAAAAAAAATTAGTCTAATTAATAAATAGTTGGCTCATAACTCATAAAATCGTGAATTCGAATCTTTATGTTGATGTGAGAATTTTATTGGAGAACGGTCTATACTTATCTTTATAAATTATCTTTGAACCTGAAAACATATCTCGGCTCAGATGAATTTACCCAAAAAACTGCTAAACTCTGGCATTTCATGTTATTTTGCTTCCCTGGGCAAGCAAAGCAAGTGAAGTGTCCAGGGAGCCGAGCGCTTTTAAGGTCACTGGGCAAGAACGTGCTTTCAAAAGTCACATCGAGTATTGGAAACTACACTTGCTGTGGACATCACAGGCACCATGTCAAGATTTCAAGAGAGACGCTTGCCCAATGAAAATCAGCATGAAGAATGCAATCTGGATCATTTGTCATATACTCGTATTTACTTACTGGGTAATGATTGGACCACCCACAGAGAACCTGATGTCGTCTTGTAGGCGAGAAACAGTAATCCAGCGGCCACCAAGGACGCGCAACGTGTGAACAAGAAAATGAGGCGCTAACGGTCTCAAGCAGAGGCTGAGCTGGAGATGAGCACAGCCAAAAGAGTAAGGGGTCCCCACGCACCCATTCATGTCCGAATAAGAATATTCAAGGATGTGTGAACGTCTGAATTTTGATCATAACACACTTATACACATTATTAGGGCTTGTTTAGAGCTCTGTTCAAAACGAACTTTTAAGCAAGTTCACGTAAATCGAGACAAAACTCTCCTCACATACTTACCTCGTATTCCGTAAATCACGTTTGAAAAGCTACTTATAAGTTAATCCAAACAAGCCCTTAGTTTCCCTGTGAACCATCATCATTACTCAAAGAAAAGGATCCATTCCGCCACGCCTTTTTCTTTTCCCCACAAATGAAAATCAACAAATAAAAAACGACACCAAATTATCCCTGTTTGGATTGGCAGCAGATCTCATTTAAATTTTGTGATCTGAACTATCCTGCTAAAATATTTATTTTACACACACATCTACTCTAATCTTATTTATAAGCCTCATTAATCATGCCTTAAAATTCAACAAATTTTCAACTTTATTTTTAATTAATATATGCATCTTTCAATAAAATAACAATTTACACAATATCAAATAAAAGATAAAATAGCATATTTATATTAAGAAATAATGATATGATTTATAAATAGGATTGAAAATATTAAGACCTATAATGAAGTATGTATTTTATAAGAGCTCAAGGTGTTATTAAGCATAGAAGTTGCTACATAAAATGGGGTCATGTACGAAGCTATTAAAAATGTGACCCGAAAGCCCAAGACGGAAGAACCGTTGGTGATTGTTCATGTTCACGTGACGCGGTGGGAGGACATCCCTACCCTTTGTCTAATACCATATTAGCTAATAGCTAGTAGCTAGCTTGGGTCATTCACTTGAACCTGAATAGAAGAAAAATAATAGAAGAAAAGGGACAGCGACAGGGACTGCTTCCACGTACTCACATTCACATTCGGGGGTTGCAATCACAGCCCAGCGCCCATCAGTCCATCATGGGCGTTTATTAGCTGTTTTTTTAAAGCCAAGCTTTCGTCGATATTACCGTACAGTGAGTCGCGCCCAAGTTGACATTCTCTTCTTTACCATTCCATTCCATTCAACTGGGTTAGGAATACTTCCCTTTAAGTTGTGCCGCGACGTGTCTCATTTGGCTTCTTCCTTTCCATTTCCAATTGAATTAAGGCTTCCATTCCCATTACGCAACTGTGCATATCCTGCTGGCTCCCCTTAATCCCCGCCGCGCCTTCCTCCTACCCTCCCCGTGTTCAAATCAGTGTGAAGTAATCACCCTTTTAAAACCATTATTTGAAGGCAAGGCATGCTTCTCCAACCCATCCGTCAAAAATAGTGCCGTGCAAGCCCCGCCCTCCTCAAGCTTGGCTCCAACTCAAAGCACACTCGCCACATATCTTACGTGAACCTTAGTGCGTTTGTTGACCAAATCTTTGAATCTTCCTCTTGTTGTCTCTTCTTTTTATTAATAAATCATTTATGCTTTCCCATCAACAAAATATTGTATTACTATATTTATGCGCCGCTCTCATATTTTAGTGTGATTTTCATCGCGCCGTTGACACTCCGCTCATCTTCAGTAATCACAGCGGCTTTCATTGTTTGTCCTTATCACCACAGCTTAATACGTAACCTTTTCGACAGAAACATTAATTCCTTTGCACATGTGCATCTTTAGCAACTAGATTAATATTTTTTTCCCACCAGCATTTTATCGAGGAGTTACGTTTTTAGTGAAAAGGCCACATAATGTCTAACCAAATAATAATATAGATTCTTGCTGGTAAAAATAATAATAATAATATAGATTCTCATAAATTTTAGGAATAAATCGTATGTATTTATGCGGAATTAGAAATTAACCACGCTCCTTATTATCTACTGCAAATATTTATTTTCAAATATATTTTTTAAATTGATGGTTAATAATATTGCCCGAGTGGATACTCTATTTTAATACTATTAATGAATAATAATAATGATGATTGATGATCGATTTGTACGAAAATAGAATGGGAAGCACTCGTCCTGTCCTTAATATAGGACCTAATTATTAAGTTGATTTTGATCCTAAATAAAAGATTTATTTTTCATATTTATCAATTTTTTAAATTATCTTTATGAATACTTCTTCGTCTATAATCAAGTAGAAGAAGAAATGAGGATATTAAAAAAGATAATTATGATGTTTTAAAAAAAATATATCATACTTATTATAATTAACTAACTTAATTTTTTTTAATCTAATTAAATTAGTTAAATAAATTTTATATTAAAAATTCGAAGGGGCAGTACACTCTGCGTAATTACGCGGCACTGGGAGCTAAGCCTAAGCAAGAAAGACAGCAGAAGCCGAAGCGTGCTGGGCGTCGTCGCGCCGGTTCCTTTCTCTGTCCCTGACCCGTACCCACCCGCCCCACGCTGCAATTTTCTTACGTCTTTCTCTTGGTCTGTTCCTCACTCGTAGCTCACTACACGCGTCTGCCAACTTTTACTCGAGAACTTTCGATTTCATAAACCTGAATTTAATTTCTGGGTCTTCACCAAACGCTCACTTTCCCACTTAATCCTAGTTTATTATTTTAATTTACTTTCCTCCCATCTCCCGCTGCCTAATTAAATTCCCATGGATTCCCTCAGAAAATCATTCAAGTCCTATTATTCCTACAAACATCCCAGAAAGATCTCCGCGGGCACTGACGCCGACTCCGACCACGAGCAGCTTCCCATTCTCCTGGATCAAGAAACTCCCGACCATCATCCTCCTCGTCACCTCACTGCTCCATCATCCATGACCTCTGCTACTCCCCCACATCGCCCCGAGGTTGTCCTTAAAATCGACGAAGGCGACTCCAGAGGTCCCGCAGTTCAACAGGGTGGCAAGATTTGGAGAGAATCTAGCTATGACTTCTGGAACAATGGAGACGTGAGCAAGAGTGCCAGCGATGGGAGTGCTGGCGCTAGTACTAGCGGTAATGACGCGGATAGCTTTGATTTCCGGCATCGTGAGCAGGGTTCTGAGGATCCACCTTCCATGCTCATTGGTAAGTTCTTGCACAAACAGAAAGCGTCTGGTGACATGTCGCTGGATATGGATTTAGAAATGGAGGAGTTCCAGCACGACTACAAATTGCCTCCGGTGGAAGAGTCTCCGCAGCTCAATCGCGTTTCCAAGGACCTCAAAGTCTCGTTTGAGGACCCCACTTCCAATGTTGTTGAGGCGGCAACTGAAACCTTCAGACGAAGGCACAAGGACTCGCCGGGTCACACCGAAGTTCATAAATCGCCGCAACGTGGTTCGCCGGGTGTCGCTCAAAGTGGTAATGCTGGTGCCGGAGATGGCGAGGTGGTGAGATGTACCTCCAACGCCTCTTACGAAAGGAATCTTTCTTTGCAGAGGAAATCTGCTTTGCTGAAGACCAGAAATAAGTCAAGATTGTTGGACCCGCCGGACCAGCCGGAACGAAAGTCTGGTCGAGTGGCAAAGTCAGGGCAAATGTTATCGACGATGTTAGGGAAGAAAGGGGAGGACGAGGAAGACGACCCATTTTTCGAAGAGGACGTGCCGGATGAGTTGAAAAGGACCCACTTTAGCATATGGGTTCTGCTTGAATGGTTGAGTTTGATTTTGATTGTTGCTGCGCTAGCATGCACGCTGAGTATCCCAGTTTTGAGGAATAAGATTCTCTGGAAGCTCCGGTTATGGAAATGGGAGGTGATGATCCTGGTTCTAATTTGTGGTCGGTTGGTTTCTGATTGGGTAATTCGAATTTTAGTGTTCTTTATCGAAAGAAATTTCCTTTTGCGGAAGAGAGTCCTCTATTTTGTATATGGTGTGAGGAAGGCAGTTCAAAATTGTCTATGGTTGGGATTTGTTTTGATTGCTTGGCATCTGTTATTCGATAAGAAGGTTGAGAGGGAGACTAGAGGCAGCAACGCCCTTCAATATGTCACGAAGGTCTTGGTCTGTTTCTTGGTGGGCACTTTGGTGTGGTTGGCAAAAACTCTTGTGGTTAAGGTTATGGCTTCCTCCTTCTATACAAGCACATACTTTGATAGGATTCAGGAATCACTGTTTAATCAATTTGTGATCGAAACACTGTCGGGGCCACCTCTGATCGAAATCCAGAAGTCAGAGGAAGAGGAACAAAAACTTGCTGATGAGGTTCAGAAACTGCAGAATGCTGGGGTTAACATTCCCCCTGAGCTTAGGGCAACTGCCTTCTCCACAACCAAGAGTCCAAGGGCAGCTACCTTCTCTAGAACTAAGAGTCCAGGGGCGACGAAAAGCGGAATGCTCCAGAAAAGCCCCCGTCTTATAAGTGGAAAGTTTTCTCGTCCACTCTCCCATAAGTCAGATGATGGGATTACTATTGATCACCTGCATAAGCTGAATCCGAAAAATGTCTCCGCTTGGAATATGAAAAGGTTAATGAATATGGTCCGGCACGGCACTCTTTCTACACTGGATGAGCAGATACTTGATTCAGCTCAAGATGATGAAAATGCTACACAAATTAGAAGTGAAAATGAGGCAAAAGCTGCGGCAAAGAAAATATTTCAGAATGTTGCCAGGCGGGGTTGCAGGTTATTCCTCGATCCTTATAGATTAACTGTATGTATGAAACTAATTTCTCATTCCTTCATCTTTTATGCATATGCAATCTTAATCTCTGACGCACATGGTATTGCAGTTCATGAAATGATTCCTGAAGGTTGGGCTGAGTCTTGGAAGCTTTACTGACTCCTTGACTATGTTCAACGTCACATCTTGTTTTAATCCTTCATATTTTATGCGTTGATGATTGTATGAATGATTGATAACTTGGCAATGATTTATAATCTTTTCTTCTCTGCCTAATTGATGAGAACTCTAGAGGATCCACACACCTAACTGATAAAGTTTATTGTTTTTCTTTTCAGGTTCATTTACCTGGAGGATTTGATGCGTTTTATGCGGGAAGATGAAGCCGAGAAAACCATGGATCTCTTTGAAGGAGCATCTGAGTCGGGGAAGATCAGCAAATCTTCCTTGAAGAACTGGGTGGTAAGAATTTTAGCAACACCTGAAGCTTGATTTGGAAAACAAAAGAGGGGTGGATTATATTCCGTACCCTATTAACAACTTAATTGTCCGCGTGAATTCTTTCTGATTAGGCTGTACGATATCATCTACTTCTAAGGAGCTAAATTTTACAATACTATTTTTATGCCTCTATCATATTCTCGATATGATTCCCTGTCATTCTACAAGTAAATACTCCTCAATATATTGGCTGCTTTTGAAACTAGTCTATATTAGCTTGTTGATGAAATAATCTCACCTCACCACGTTCTCTGTCTATAAGACACACAAGTGCAGATATGAATGACCCAGTGCAATTAATATTAATTAACATTTTTGTGTATTTCTTCTTCACCTGTTCATGCAACTATGTATTTTCCTTTAATGATATGATGATCGGAGGGGAATAAAATTTTCAACTGGCGATCTTGGTCTATGTTTTATTGATGCAAGGTTTCAATGTATGTTTAGATGAGATACAGTTGTTTGCGTTGCTTATATAATACTTATGCCTGAGTTCTCTATTCTAAAATTACAGGTTAATGCCTTCAGAGAGAGGAGAGCGCTTGCTTTGACACTGACTGATACCAAAACCGCAGTGAACAAACTTCATCGAATACTCAATTTTATAGTTGGCATCATCATACTAGTTATTTGGCTATTAATACTGGGAATTGCCAGCACCAAATTGCTTCTCTTTGTGAGCTCACAGCTTGTCTTGGTTGCTTTTGTATTTGGAAATACCTGCAAGACGGTATTTGAAGCAATTATTTTCTTATTTGTCATGCACCCATTTGATGTGGGAGATAGGTGTGAAATCGATGGGATCCAGGTAATGCTTAGCTCTTTAAGCGTTTACAGATTTTTTTTTCGCTTATGCAAGGCCTAACTCTTGTTGACCTCTTTGCGGTCTAATTGCAGATGGTTGTGGAAGAAATGAATATTCTGACAACCATATTTTTAAGATATGACAATCAAAAAATAATCATCCCCAACAGCGTCCTTGCTACTAAGGCCATACATAATTTCTACCGGAGTCCTGAAATGGGAGATGCTATTGATTTCTTTGTGCACGTGTCCACCCCAGCTGAAAAGATTGCCCTCATGAAACAAAGAATACATAGGTATGGGCAGGAACGAACTGTTTCCCTTGTATTGTTTGTATTCTTGGTTGTGTTATGGTGTACATCTAACATGAAATTTGAAATTCGTAATGACTAAAATGTAGCTTCATCGACAACAAGAAGGAGCACTGGTATCCTCAAGCTTTTATAGTCTTCAGGGATCTGGAGCAATTAAACATGATAAGGATCTCGATTTGGCCAACTCATAGAATGAACCACCAAGACATGGGAGAAAGGTTTGTCAGAAGATCCCTTCTGATTGAAGAGCTGCTCAGGATATTCCGTGAGCTTGACATCCAGTATCGTCTTCTTCCTCTTGATATTAACGTTAGAAGCATGCCTACCACTTCTGAACGGCTTCCACCTAGTTGGGCCACAATCACAAGTTGACTAGTAGGAGGAACCTGAGCTGGGGAGTGTTGTTCAGCAGGATAGGATTAAAGAAAGTGGGGTTTTCCGGTTATTAATTATACTGTATATTAGTTTACGGAGCTCATAATATGGATCTTGGGCGATTTTTCATGCCGCCTTCCTTGTTCGCTCGTCCCAAGGCCATGATTAGTGGGATGGTTTTATCTTTCTAGGACCACGGAAGGAAAAAGGAGAGAGAAAGATGCTTCTATGAAAAATATAAATTTTTGGGCCAAAAATGTATTTGACTGACGGAAAGAAATATTCTTTTGTATTCGGATCTTGAAATGAAAAAATTAAGAATGGAAATCAATATAATGTGATCAAATGACATGAATTTCTTACAAAAATATCCAAATTGAGTTTTGAGAGACAATTGGCTAACGATGTTATATGTGTTTTTACAATGTTTTAATGTGAGATACAATATTAATACTTTTTCGCATTGATTAATAATTATTTTATCAAAATATTAATATTTCGATGTATACAAGTCAAATATAATAAATTTTCAAGTTTTAAAAGTCAAACTTCTTATATTTAAATGTCAACTTGGCAATAATTAATATTGTAGTATATACCTTTAGTTCTATTTATAAGACATAAATTTTTTATCCATTCTATTTATGAGTTATTTTATTAAATTTTTATTATGAATATATTATTTTGTTTTTTATTTATTATAGTGTAGATAATTTTTTTTAAAAAGTGTATATATGTTCTCACCGAAAAAAAAGATACATATATATTAAATAAAGATAAAATTAAAAAGTTATATTTTAATGGATAGTTAATGTAGTTTAATATTTTCTTTTTTTATGTGAAACATACTTGAAATACTTTATAAATAGGATCAAATGAGTAATGTTTACAAATCAAATTTCACAAAAATTTTGCATTAGTTTTTTTTTTTTAAATCTTGCAACTTTTTACAATTCAACTTGTTAAATTTAAAGGCTATTGATCTGAGTATTATTTACCTTATTATAAGTTTTGAAATTTGGTTTATATATTTAAAAGGATGACTTCTACATTTGAGAAACTGACTTGCGAATTAATTTATAAAATTTGAAGAACTAATACAAAAAATTATGTAAACTTACTTGTAAAACTTAGATTTTTGAGTTATAAATATCAAAGCGTCAACATTGGAAGAGTTTACCTTGAAGTATGGTGTTTTAATAAAAAAAATTAAAACAGTATCCAGCGACTAGTCAATGGTTATCAGTGGTTGGTCAATGCCAGTGAATAATCAATGCAGTAGAAATGAAATGTGTGATATTTTATATGTAAAATTAATTACAACTAACTTCAAGTAGACTTTGCTGGTTAAAAAAAAAAAAAAGCTCAAAGAGACTTGAAAGCATTTTAACAAATTTAGGTAACTTATTTAACATTTACATATAATGGGCATAAAAAAAAAAAAAAAAAGAGGTTGGGGGAGGGGGTTCGGCTTGGCTTGGAATATACTGAGTTGATATTTGGACCTGTGCTTAAACCATGCTGGACCAATATCAAGCTAAGGTCGGGATAGTAAAAAATATTAAAAAAACAAGAAACAAAAGATAAAAAATAAAATAGGTATTTTATTTACTGATTAAAAGTATCAGGATTTTTTTAAAGAGTATATTCCCTTAGAAAATAATATTAAAATTAGAAGTATCATTTTTCAAATTATTAATGATCAACCAATACATGTTGACTTCATATGATATGAAATCAGGAAATGAACTTAAAATTTGAAATAAGATTTTCTAAAAATGAAATTATAAAAAAATCACAGTAGTTATTAAATCAGCTTATTGCATGAAATATATCAAGGAAAACAATCTCACGGTACAAACCAACTTGGGCTGTGTTGAACCAGGCTGGAGTAAACCAGCTCCCGAACTCCTCTGCTAGTCTTTCTAAGGGCTTGTGGAAATGCATTTGGCAACTTCAAGTGCAGGCGAAGGTTAAAACCTTTTCTGTGGAGGGCTTGCAATGGCGCCATATTTGGCAGAGCCCAGAACCTATGGAGCATCTCTTTCTCCTATGTGATTGGACTCATCATGTCCGGTTTGGCTGCTCTGCTGACTGCTGCTGTAAGGATTGATCCAGCCAAAATATCCTCTTTTGCTGGGTGCTGCCAAAAAGTTGTTCTCTGCAACTGCCTTTCTCATGACTATGAAAAATCTTATATTTGCCAATTTTGTAGGACTATTTAGAAAACAAGATCAACAGCTGTTTTCTTGGAACTCTGGGAGATAGAGTGCCTCATAAAAATTCTGATCAGTCAGCTCGTCAGTATTCAGAGCCCACTCTCAGTCCTTGAACTAACAAGCTTCTCTTCTCATCAACCATCTGTTGTGGCTGCTAATCTTAGTAGGATGAGTTAGATGTATATTTATTTTCTTTTCTCCTGTGAACAAATTTAGTTTTAAATATAAGATTTTAATATATTTTATTTCTTATATTTGCTATTTTCCCGTATTTAACTTAAAAACTAAGATCATAATACATTAATCATAATTAAATTAATTTATTCATATTAATTAAGTAGTCTTATAGTAAAGCATCGTTTCTAAGTTCTAACCTCGTGTTCTAAATATTTCCTTTCATCTTCAATTGTTAAAAACAAAATTGACCAGCAACATAGTAGTTTACATAAAATGATCAAAACTAAACCAAAAAACAAGTGGGAAAGAAGACCAGCCGATGGATTGAAAATTTGGGGGGAAAAAAGAAAAATGAAACAAGCGCAAAAGAAATTGGCGCGACGGAGCCAAAAGAGACGAAAGCAGGTGCTTCAGGAGCGCAGACATCACTCGAGCATTGAGACTTGAGAGGGAAGATAATAGAGAAGAGAATGAAAGCAGGATGGCCAAGGCCAACCTTTCGAGCCTTCTACACGAACTACGAGAACGCATTGCAGCTTCGTCATCCTCGCCTAGCCCCGGTAAGGCTGACGACGATGCTTTGGAGATCAGGTTCCGCGCTGTGCTTCCCAATCTTCTTCATGCTTGTGTCGTCCCTTGTTCCTCTGGTATGCTTTCTATCCATTCCCATCATTTTGTTTCTTCTCTACATCTCCTCAGAAAACTTTGGGGGAAAACACTTCTTTTGGCAATTAATGCTTTCTTGCATTGCCGAGCTAGTTAATGTTTCGGTTTCTCTTCTACTTCGCATCATGCGTCGGCGAAACGAAAAAATGTGTGAAGCCTTAGTTAGAACTTAGTAAAGAAGCCACAAGTTTAAAACGGTGGTGCTACTCTGACTGATGGAATATAAGGTTTAACTACGGTAGTTTACTCACTTTCAAGCTGAGACGCTTGGAGTATGAAGTTGATTTTCTGTTTGGCAGCAAATGAGAGAGAAGTGATTGCAGTGGTGAAGCTTATATCTCGTATTGCAAGAAATTTTCCTGGAGTCTTTTACCATGGCAAGGCTAGTGCCTTAGTACCAATCATTGGTCAGATATTACCTTTCTTTGCAGAGCCCGCATTTGGGTGAGTTATTTCAGAGGAATTTCAGTTTTTAACCTTGGAGCTTGTGACTTGTTTTCTCTTTTCTGATTTCTATTGGCATGGCTGTTAGTTATTTGCGTATTAATGCCAAGAATTATTTTATGAACATCTCCAACACACCCCTCTACCGCTCCTTGCAAAGGTAATTTGGACCTTTTTTTCCGTCAACAATTTGGACTTGAATTATAGAGAAATTATAAATCCATTGTATCCTGAGTTCGAATTTATTTTTAACTACGCACATTGTCTGCCGTTTGATCATAGAAGCTTATCACCTTGTGAATGATGTTATTAATCTTGCAAGTTTATTTGTTACTATTATGAGGGATTTGGAATACTGTAATCTCATGCCAGTTTCTAATAGTGAAGTCTTTACTCTTTAGCTTTCCTCTCTCAACTAGTTCTTTCAAATTTTCAGCTTTAAAATCCAGATATTGTTTTCTTTATTACAACTTTGTATGTCTGTGTACATTAAAGGGTTGACAAAAAGGCACGTGACAAAGCTCAGTATTATGGTTTGTTCAGTATATGAACTTTCACGTTTGTATGATGTTGAAAGGTTTTGTTTGGCACAGGATGGCTTTATGGTGTTGCTTGCCATAGAAAATTTATTCTCTCTTGTTTTTAATTTGGTAATATGTAAAGGGAAAATGATCTTTTTATTCATTTTCTGTTAATAGAAACTATTCCCTGTCTTTTACCTGTAAAATAGCTGTTTATGAAGAATGATGTACAATTTCAGATCTCGTCATGGGGTAATCTTTGAAACTCTTGGGTCACTTTTATCTTTGCTTCGCACTGGAGCACGAGATGCATATAGACAATTTTGTGCTGATGCCATGTTAGTCGTTGAAGGTATGAATGTGAAAATTATGAACTACAATATTCAATGTATCGCCCTTTTCTTAAATAAATGATCTGTCTTTTCTTATTTGCTATCTTCTCCATGGCGAATTATGTGATTGATTTCATTGAACTTTTGTTGGTCTCATTTTATGAGTTTGGGAGGTTTTTTTTTTTTTGGGGGGGAGGGGGAGGGGATGAAAGGGACTGTCCACAACAATTTTTATTGTTGGATCTTTCTATGAAAAATCATGTCATTGATTTTGGTTGATAATGTTGAAATGCTTGTTGTCTTCACAGATATTATACACCTGGTCTCTCTCTGTCTTCATGATGCTAGCAGCACACAATCCACTAGGCTAAGGTTGAAGTGCTTTTGTGAGTCCTTTAAAGGAATTGTCAGTGATCCTGCTATTATTGGAGATCTCCCAGCAAGTAACAAACCTGTTGATGGATGTGGTTTATTAATTGACCTGAGCAACAAAAGGAGATGGCAGCCTTTTGCGACTTGGATTTTAAAGCTTCTCAGCAAATGTCTAACAGAAGGGACACTGTATGTTGAGGGCTTGGTCAACACAGCATTTGTCTCTGCTGCATGTTCTCTTTTATGCTACGGGGATGCTGCTCTGCATATGGTGGGTAACTTTTAGCCCCAAATGTTTTAAGATTCATCAGCTGGCTGATAAAACTTGGAATTCTCATCAGCTAGCTGATAAAACTTGGAACTCAGTATTGACTTGATTTATTTGAATTGTTAGAATTAAAAATGACCTGACTCTGAAAATTATGGCTTTTTGGAAGGCATGTTTTGACTTTGTGGGCATCATTGTAACGGTGACGAACTATCATATTGTACCCTATCAGAATTTTATCCAGTCCATAATTACTATCTTGAGTGTGGACAAAGAGGGGCTTCCTGTATTCAGGTTTGACACTGTTTGCTCTGTTCAATGATTTCTTTAGGGCTGGGTTTTAATAGTAAATCAGGATGTCCGCTTGGT